CCAAAAAAAAAAAAAAAAAACCCAGGCGTTTTTGAATAGAATAGAATAATGAAATGAAGAAAAGAATAAGATAGTATAGGGTGGGGTGGGGTAGAATGGAATGGAATAAGATAGGATGGGATGGAATAGAATAGAATAGAATAGAATAGAATAGAATAGAATAGAATAGAATAGAATAGAATAGAATAATGAAATGAAATGAAATGAAATGAAATGAAATGAAATGAAATGAAATGAAATGAGATGAAATGAAATGAAAAGAAAAGAATAAGATAGGATGGGATGGGATGGGATAGGTTGGAATGAATGGAATAGAATGGAATAGAATAGAATAATGAAATTAAGAAAAGAATAAGATGGGATGGAATGGAATAGAATAGAATAATGAAATGAAGAAAAGAATAAGATGGGATGGGATGGAATAGAATAGAATAGAATAATGAAATGAAAAGAATAAGATAGGATAGGATAGGATGGGATAGAATGGGATGAATGGAATGGAAAGGAATAGAATAGAATAATGAAATGAAGAAAAGAATAAGATGGAATGGGATGGAATGGAATGGAATAGAATAGAATAGAATAGAATAGAATAGAATATTCTTTATTGGCCAAGTGTGATTGGACACACAAGAACTTTGTCTTTGGTGCATAAGCTCTAGGTGTACATAAAAGAAAAGAGACATAAAACCCTCTGGGCATGGCATGTTTTGCCAACCTGGTGCCCTGCCTGGCCACAAGAGTCCTAATGACGGGGGTGTGGACCACCCGAGGCTTTTGGAGGGCGCCAGATTGAGGGCTGCCCACCCCGAGGTGCAGGGGGAGGGAGCGGGGGACGGATGCAGAGAATCGGCTTCACGTGGCGATGCCTTGGGCCAGGCGGGGCTCCTGGTGCTGCAGTGGTGAAGAACGCGCCTCTTTTTTTTTCTTTTTTCAACTTCCTTCTGGTGACTGCTGAGAGTGGCGAGATGGGGCAGGGAGAGAGAAAAGCCTCTAGCGGTGGGAGAAACCTCCTCCTCCTCCTCATCATCATCATCAACTAAGCCATCTCAGGCAAAAGCCACCTGTCAATAATGATTTATTTAATAGCAAATGATCAAATAAACAATTTCCAGGTGTCCACCTTTCCCGGGGATTCACAGCATCCGCTCTCTTCTTCTACTGCCAATGGAGCTCAGAAGGAAATGCCTCTGAAATGGGGGGAGGGGGGAGGGAGGATGGTTTCCCAGCATGGGGGAGACCTTGAAGAAGGTGGGAAGCTGGAGGGCGAGGCTCCTTGGTAGAGAGAATAAGATGGGACCGGGTGGGTGGGATGAAAGAGGGGGGGAGGGAGGGAGGGAGAGGAGAGAAGCAGGATGCTGATTAAGATATCCAAGCAGTGGGGTGGAAAGGTGCTTCTCCCTCCCTCCCTCCCTGCCCTTGGAGGAAATTCGTGTCTACCTGGAAGGCAAAAGAGAACTTTGAAATGCCCCCCCCCTCCCTTTGTCCTAAATGATTCGGCATCTGGGCGCTCACCCTGGTTGCAACTTTGAAGAGATTCTCTCTGCAGCCGGAGCCGCTGCCCTTTTTGCATTCATTTTGCTTCTTCCAAGACAAGATGTGGTCCTTTTCCCTACGGCGCCTAACGCTCAGGTGATGCCCTGCACATAAAACCTGAATTAAACAGCCTGGATGCCGACGTTAGCGCTGAGAACCCTGGAGCTCAGCGGTCGAAGTTAAGGCGAGGGTTGCTACGTTTAGTAACCAAATAAACGTGTGCCTGCTTGATTTTAGGGATCCCGTGGCCGGAAAGATTGCCCTGGATTTGGCAGGGTTTCTTCCTACATTTGCTCCCCTAGGATAGGAAGGCTGGATTTCTCTTGATTGCTTGTGTCATCCACGTTCTCACAGAATAATCTCTCTAGCATAAAGGGGTGGATTTTTTTAAAGTTCTTTGTTTATTTTGCTTGTATAGACAATGGAACACTAAAAGGCAATTACTAATTCTCATCCCCTCCCAGTCTCTAAAGATGTACGAGTTGAAAGAAGATCCTGTTTCCTCTGCTTTACAGTTGAATTCCGGTTACGCTTTCATGCCAATAAAACCATGAAACACATGAGTTTTGAGGCAGCTCTTTTAAACTTGTATCTTATAAGCTAAATCTGATCTTCTTCTGCTCTTAAATTTAACAAATGAAATCTCGGCCGCTTTTCTTCATGCCAGGTAAAATTTCACCTGCATAACTTCTTGAGTGCCGAACGATAAAGACGTAGAGGCCATGAAAAACGAAGGGAGATCCCCATCTAAGCTGTTTTCAGCTCCCGGATGGGAATTTTTTTAAAAAATAAAGTTTGCAATTTTAGTCATGGTCCCAGAACTTCTGCAGCAGATGGTTTAGCATCTGCACTAATAGGCAGAAACATACTAGCAATTCCTGTGGGCCGTTCACTAAAGACCATTTAATACAGAAGTGCAAGTCCCACTCTGATTTGTAATCATGTTATGGTTAAATGTTGGATCTCTCCCAACCACAAATCAAGATCCAGTTGTGTCCTTGTGAGCATGGTGGGAAGTTTAATCCACAAGGGAGGGAAGCAGTGAAACATTGCAGGGAAACATCGAGTGTAGCCAGTTCAGCCAGCTAGCCAACTGTGCTACCTTCGAGAATATTCTCTGTTATTTTCTCCCCCACTTCGTCCAAGACAGAAGTCTCTGACCATCTCTAGCTGCTGGTAGTCCAGGTTGGCTTGTGTTGGGTTTCTTCGCCTTCATTTTTTTTTTAACCCCATACATTTTTGTACTCCTTGCAAACCTAGAGTTGCCAGGTTGGCAATTCCCCACTGAATTTAGCAACTAGGCATTCAGAATGGAGAGATCCCATCCGCTACTTCTTTTCAATCCCTTCCTCCAAGTATTAGGAAGGCCGGGCGTTTGAGCAGTTCTTTTCCGGCATCATCCTGACATCTGGTCTGGTCTGTGTGAAAGCTCATCCCAGAGATGAGACTGTCTGCTCAGCTAATGGGAAGAAAGGCCTGGAAGCAGCCGTGGTTTCACTTAATGGCAGCTTCACCCATAGGAAAAGAAAGGCCGTTTGATTAAACAGTAAAAATCAGAAAAGCTAGCTTTTGCTCTCTTGGACGGTATCTGGAGAGTGACTTCATTTTCACTCGCTGCCCTTCCTTCCCAGACTTATTAGCAAATGCTTCCATTAAGGGGGGGGGGCAAGAAGCATTAAGCAGATTGGATCCCCATTGAGTCGAGATCCCGGACATGGCCCTCCACATCACCCTGCCTCAAAAAAAAAAAAACATGAAAAGCAAATAACATGCAAATGATTTGAGCAAATCTTAGGATGGCTTGGCATAGCTTGCCCACTTTTCAAAACTCTGCTTAGGATCGAAATTGTGGAGTCATTTGCGGGCCTCAGCAACCTCAGCCTGCCTCGTTGCGACAGAGGGATGTCTCGGAGAGGCATTTCCCAGTTGCAGTGTCATGCCCCTGTTGGAGACCGACTCTGAGGGAGAGGAGGAACAGCCGACAGGGAGTGGAAGGGTGGCTCCAGAGGTTGTGGAAGAGGATGGGGAAGGGCATAGGCTGGCTGGGCAGTCAGAGGAAGACCCAGGCCCACCCCCTCTCCATCCTAGGGCACGCAGGGAGGAGAGGATAACGGAGAGACAGGAACGGCATGGTCTACAGGGGAGGAAAGGGCCTTGATCCTCTTCATGGGCTGCAGTTGTGAAAACTGGTTAAAAGGACGGACATGC